AGAGATTAAGGCTTCTTAATTTGGGTTTAGGAATTAGGAAAAGTATTTAATCAAATCCAATTTGACATCACAAATAGATTTAAATTAAGAACTTTCCTAAAATAGATTAGTTAGGAAAGAATTTGAATTTCAAATTTAATTGATTTGGATTTCAAATTGATCTTAAATTAACTCCAACCAAGTTAGGAAACCCAAGGAAGAGGTGAGAGGTGATGGGGGCAGTGGCTAAGGGGGCTAGGGTTGGCGGTTTGGGTGGAAACCGTGGGTGGGGATGTGGGGGAAGGGGTCGGGTGAGCAAGGGGGGGTGGGGTGGGGTTTGGGTTTAGCCAATGGAAAGGAACTTATGTGGTGGTGGTGGAGGGACGTTAAGTGACCGACGGCAAGGTTTTGGGAGGACCTTGGTCGGCGGCTAGGTAATTGAAGAAGGGGTTAATGAGAAGACAAAATAAGGAACCACAAACCCGTCCGTCTCCAAGTTTGGTGGGTGATCCGATCTCCCTCTCCTAGGGAAATCAAAGGGAAGAAAACTTATCATTCATTCATTAACTTGCAAAGAAGAACAAGGGGGCTATAAATAATCTTTTATAATGATTCAAATATAAAGGATCACAATGCCCCTAGGGCTTACATACGATCTCCCTTAATAAAAGGGTATAACGGGAAAACTAATAAAGCAAATACAATATGCCATCATAAATAAGAAAATACATAAAACAAATCAAAAATACAATGATTCAATCGTGGCCGTAGATCGACGACCACGTCTCTGATAAACCTTCCATGATCTAATGTCCCCATTATGCTTGGTTACGTTGCTTCCTCACCCAGTTCCATATAGGGGTGAACTCTTCTAATTTGCATGCATGCACCTTTTCTTTTTTTAATTCTTCCATTTCCATTTAAATCATTGTTCAATATTTTATTTTTCTTCACCTTTTATTTTAATATGTATAGACATTATATATTTATATATATAACACTATAAACCTCAGTAATTAACTCAGTCTCAAGTTGATTGTATATTTAATATTTAATATATCAAATACTTAAACATGTAACAGTATTCTTTAATAGTCATATAGCGAATATTTCACATTTATATTTCTTCTATTCTTCTTAGTCAATTCATTTATATGCTAATCATTCAACAACAGAATAATATAATCATGCAATAATTATAATAAATAAAAAGAAATTGAAATAACATAAAGAAATTTGGAATTTCTATAACACAATTGAAATTACTCACTTGATTATTTTTGTGCTTTAATTCTTTTCCAATTCTCGAGCTTAATATAGACTTCAATAGTCTTCCCAACTCAATTATGAAAATCTCTTTCTATTCAAATAACACCCATTTGCATTAACAACTTTATTAAAGTAAAACATCTTCAAAATATTCTGAATTAATTTGATCTTTAAGGAAAACTTCAAATGCGTCCGATATTATCTATAAAATATTGACTCCTAATTTAATATATCTAAATTAAATTTCATAATCTATTGCAACTATCTAAATTTATAAAAATTAATTACCTCAATAAGCCTTTTTCTCTTTCTCTTTGAATCGAGTCTCTCCCATAAGATTTCTTCTTTCTATTTGACAATCACCTATTATTTTGTCAATTAGAAAAATTCTAAATAATAATTTAAATCACTATTCTTTCCTCCGTCATTGAGATTTAATTTTTTATTTTGAAAGGTGTAGAACGATTTGAAAAAATAGGAAAATTGAGCCCAAGATTCATGGGTCCTTTTGAAATCATAGAGAGGATTGGAAATAAGGCTTATAGATTGGATATGTCAGTGCATATGCAAGGAATTCATATTGTGTTTCACATATCAGTACTTTGAAAGTTTGTGTTAGATGAGTCAATGAGAATCCAATCCAAATCAATTGACTTGCAGCCTGATTTGAAATATGTTGAAGAACCTAAAAATACTGGAATATAATGTGAAAAACTTGAGGAAGAGGACAATACCTTTTATGAAAATTTTATGGAAAAATGGATCAGATAAAGATGCTACTTGGGAGAGAGAAGCAGAAATGAAAGCTCAATATCCATATCTATTCAATTAAGGTATGTTTTTTAATACTTGATTTAAATTTTTAGGATGAAATTTTTAGAAGAGAGATCATTATAACTGGCTTAGCCGGCCTGTTCAATTGAACCAGCTGGCCACGTATTAATTCCGTGAACAGAAACGAGCAAAGATGAGATGGATGCAACTGGGAGCGGACGAACGAGTGCGCAAAAGAGATTGCAGAGTTTATTTCGTCATTTTTAGCAATTGATCGTGTTTAGGGATAAGAATCACCAACACCTTTTCATTCTTATCGTTGAAGAATTGGTAAATTGAAAGAAATCTCAGTGAACGAGAAGAACGACCAGAGGAAAAGGGAAGAAGGTTTGTTGAGTTTTTTCTTTCTATTTCCATATAAATTTCTTTGTTTTGCTTCATCTAAAGCAAGTGATGTTTTAATAAGGGAAAAGAAAGAGATTGGAAGGGAAAGAAGAAATTTTGGGAGAGAACGATGAAGGATTTTTGGGAAAATTCTCATTGTAAGTGAATTTTTTATCGTGTAACTGTTATTAAATTTTATTATTTAAATCATATTTTTATAAAAATTTATGTTGTATGATTTTAGAGATTTTAGAAAGAAAAAGATCAAATTATAGGATTTTGATTCTTCAAGAAATAAAAAATTAAGATTTGAGGTAAGCATTAATGAAATGAATATTTATGAAAACTTAATTGAAGAAATGATAAATTTAATTGATTATGTATCCTTTAGGTTGTGCCAATGAGCAAGGACTTGGAAGAATCAAAGTAAGTATTTATAGAATTTTTCTTTATTGAATTTTTCTATTTCATTTTGAAAGAAATATGTTATATAAGCGTTTTAAGATTTTGATTTATTTTTGGAAACTGTTACATATGAAATAAACAAATGTATATACAAATACGAATATGTAAAAGAAAAGGTATGTAAAGGGAATACATATAAGAGAAATGGAAAGTAAAGCTAGAAAGCATTTATATATATATATAAATAAATTAAATGTCAAATTTGTTAAAAGAAATGTTACGTGGAAATGAACAATTATGATTGAATATAAATAAAATGACTTATATGAATTATTCGACTTATAATACATGAAATATGTATGTATATGGATATTATATTAAGAAAGAAAGAAGTATATATATATATATATCAGTGTTACTGTTTTATGATTGATAATGATTACTCACTGAGTTTACATGATAAACTCAACCCACTAAATTAATGTTTCAAGTAGATCTCCAAAGAAATAGAAACGACAAAAAAGAAAATAGTATGTTTATAAAAGACGTCACATCAATGAAAATAGTTAAATTATGATTGATGGAATTATTAGCCTTGATTAGTGGAAAAAATAGATTTAATGGAATATTTCTTGTATTAGTGGCTCTTTAGTTGGATAGAGAAGTCTTTATATTATTTTACTTATCAAAAGGAATAAAAAAATTTACTACCGTCCGATTTTCGTTTCTGCCTCGTTATTTCAAGCATCCGAGTCGGGTCGTGACATCTTAGTATCTAATTTATTATACTAATCATTAAAAGCTAAATTCTTTACAATAGGTAAATTTTTTACAGACCTCTTTATATCTTTTTAAAATTTTTGTGCTTTTACACATAAACTTAATTTTTATAAAAAATATTAGTTTTAATCTTTTCTTACACATTTTGATTCCACCATCAACTATTGTTACTATTATGAGTTTTTTCTTTTGAATTTTCCACACATCCTTTGCATATGCTTAATATTACTAGCTGTTTTTCCCGCATAACATTAGTTTCATCTTGCACTGTCAAAATTTTAAGATCTTGAATCTTATTCTAAATTTTTTTTTTAAATATTATTTAAATGTCGCATTTATTCCTAGAATAACATTATACTTTATTTTTCATATTATGCCTCTTCATCTTAAAATCCAAAACTAATAAGCGATGCGGTACATAAACTTTCACTCGGAATAAATTTACAATATTTGCAATTTAAACGATCTATTTAAAAAAAAATCAATCTTAAGTTTTATTATATCCATTCTTGTAAGTGATAAGATGAACATCTTTTTTCTTAAATTAGGTATTTACTATTTAGCAATTACAAAATCATAAGGTAGGGAAAAAGTTAATATGGTCATACCACCTTCATTAGTAGCTCTAATCTCATCGCTACCATGAATACTTTTGACCCCTCCAATAAAAACTATTTCTTTAAAAGATATCCTTTGTATTAATTTTTCTAAGTCATACTATTGTTGCTAGGTCCCAAGTCCTAGATAAGAAAAGTGAAGGATTGCGTTAAGTAGTCAACAGCCAGCGTAAAATTTACGAATAATTATGACTACCATGTGTAATCACAAATGCAAAAAGATCTCCATAGGTTCATTCTATATCCCTACTCTTTTTTTATGAACAATCAGACTCGACTTTTAAAATCCATGTGTGAGCATTGGTCACTAAAATGAATTTTTTATACTTGGATGGTCATTATTCCAAGCATGTTGCTTGGTTACTAACCAGGACAATATTTTCATTTGATTTTATTTCTTCACCATTTCTTGTATGTTGTTACTCTGTGTGTGGAATGGCTTGTATTCAAACAGCTATGCTAATTTTGTTTTCTGCTCTTGATTGTTTATTCTCAATAGAATTCAGTTCTATTCTTTGATATGGAAAACCTACTAATTAAGATAAAGCTTTAAATGTTTTTTTGTTGGTTTATTGTAGATGATTTTTTTTTTAAAGTAGGTGATAATATTTACACAGGAAGTTTTGCAGTTGATTTCTCATTATAATTTTTACTTTATTTTTTTGAGGTGTCAGTCTTATTTTATACATTTTGTTGTACCTTAGTTGACTCTTGAAGAGGAATGATGACATCATCAAATACTATCAATGCATTACTGACAATTTTCTTTTATGTCCCATGTGGTACTTCCAGATCTTTTCATGAGTACGGGGAGGCTGTTTTGAGAAGTTTGGAGAATGCAGTCAGTTCTGATCGTAAATTGCTGAAAGCACCAATCAACTATGAAGGCGTATGCTCAGTAGTCTTAGATTATTAAATTATTAATGGCCTTCTTCTTTTGATGTTGATTCATAAAGTAATAATATGGTTTTTATCGATGCATTTAAATTTGCTTTACCTGCCACAAGCACACTCACACAACTGAAATCAACAATGTTCTGTTGCAGATTGACTAACATTGTATACTGCTCATCAGCCTAATATTTTCCTATTGATAGACTCAGCTGTCACCCCCTTGATCGAGTTAACTCTACTGTCTGCTGTTTAGACATCTCACTCTTACGTATAAACCCTAATGGTCTTTCGTTATAAATAGAGCTCTCAGGGAATGGAATGAATAACTTCTGATGAACAAAATGAAAACTTTTAAGTTGTGGTTGCATGCTTTTCTTCCCTCACCAGTTCCTCTCCTTCCTCCTCTACCACTTCTCTTTCTTTTCCCCTACTTCTTCCCTCCCTTGTTCAACTACCACGAATAATAGTATCAGTGTCTGATTCTGAATTTCTGATTTAGTGATTGCTTTTCTTTTTTGCTGGAAATATCTATTTTAAGTTACTTTGTAAGCACTCTTTTGTTGTTTGCTGCATGTTCTTGTTTTTCCCCTCTTTTTCTTAAGCCGTCTCTTGTTATTCGCTGTAACAATTTGTTGTTTTATCTCCTGTAGAAAGCACTACAACCTCTTCTCCATTAGCCCCACCTCTGATTGAACCAAGTCAGCCCAGCTCCCCTAATCAACCAGAACCTATGCAACCCAATCCAAAACCTCCATCCAGGGTGAGTAACCAGTAACCATAACAAGCAAAAATTTTTCCTTTTATACTTATGATTTCAAAGTCGGGAAGCTGAATCTGCTTCTTGCCGTACTCTTTTAGCTGAAATTTCCCACTTGAAACATCCACACCAATTTTGAAAAACCTGTTTTGTGCTGCATGATGTAAAACATATAACCTGAAATTTAGCTTATTGAAATTTTGCATGCTTCCTTGTAGCAAAATGTGTCTTGTTTTTTACTAAAATGTTTTCCTAAATCCAGCCATCTCCAAACGCCAAACAATAACACCATCCGGTCATCTAAAACCTGGCTAAAATTGTATATGCTGAAATTCTCAAATCAGGAAACTTTCATTTATCTGCCATTTCCTATTTTATGATCTAGGTTGTCTGATTCTGGAAATTTTTTATAGTTGTCTGGAATTAGCTTTTGCTTGCTTATTGGGACTATTGCATGCAATAGTTTTTTAGCATCAACAATAATTTTATACACAACTAGTTGCATTCATCTTGCAACATTCGTGAAATTGCATTACACCTAGTTCTATCAATATCAAGACAGCGTGAAAACATTTCAAATGGGTCAGAAAGGAACAAAAAAAAGTAGAAATAAATTTGCAGACAAATATAGGACACTTGTGCATAGGTTTGAGACTTTGGAATGCCTAATGGGTTTACCAATGGAAGAGTAGATAATTATGGGTTAAAATAATTATGCGTAAGCTCAAGGACCTGGACAAATAACTTAATGTCTTCCTTTCAACCTTCTCCACTAGTTGGGGCCTATGCTAAAAGAACCTCCAGGAGTCTGGTAACCTTGCCCATTATGGAATTAGGAATCCTAGTTATTTAATGAGGTCACATCAATGACCTGCTTACCCCGTTTTTTCCACTTAAAAAAAAGTTAGAGAATTCCTTGTATCAAAAGAGTACATCTACAATGTTGGGTAAGGCCTTTGGTGGTTGTGATAGTGATTTAGGCGGGGTGGGTAATAGCGGTGGTAGAGTGGACTAATGAGGTAGTTGTTTATGCTGTGTGGGTGAGGGTGTTTTGTCAAGATGTTTGTCCTTGAGTGGCTTTGCTAATTCGTTTGCTTGGTCAAATGTTGTTGGTTAATGAATGCATATGTCCTTACAAAATTCTTGTTTTAGATCAGATTCAAAATAATTTTGGAAAAAAAAACCCATCGACGTCGGATATCGGTTAAGAAGGTTTTCAAACAAGAGTGGGCACTCAACTGTGGGCTCCGAAAATTCGGCCCCGGCCTCCACTCGCTTTTCTTTTTCGGCGAGGGAGTTTAGCAGGATTTCAGGGATCCTGCAGAGCTACGACATGATTTCATTTTTTTTTTCCTTTGGGTATTGTTCAGAGGTCAACATCAACATCGGTTAAGAGGTTTTCAAACAAGAGTTGGCACTCAACGATTATTTTTTTCTAAGTGGGTTTAGCAAGTTTTTTGTGAAGGTCATAGTATTTAGAAGGTTTGAATGATGTGTGATGGGCAAATATGAAAGCTTCCCAAGTAGGGATGTAAATGAACCGAGCATTCGACGAGCTGCTCGTGGTTTAGCTCGATAAGAGTTTGTTCATATTCGTTTGATAAGATAAACAAACAAGCTTAAACACTTTTGATAAATACTCGATAGCTAAACAAACGAGCTTGAACAACTTGACGTTCGGTTCGTTTATGTTTACAACAATATCATTTAAAGATCGCGAATAAGCTCGATTAGAGTTTTGAAAATAAATATTATTAAATTAATTTTACTAATTTAAAATTGTCATAATTTATGTTTAAATCCTCGTTCCATTTTCCTCTCCCGTTGTCGGCTCCCGCCTCAGCTCCCGCTCATGCATCAAGGAAAAAAAAACTGTTGGTTTAGTCCCACACTGTGAAATGCTACATGATCTTGCTCTATATAATGATACATAGTGGGCTTTCATTTGAAAGATGGCTTACGGGATGGGTCAGGTCTACTATGAAATCTTGGACATCTAGCAGACTGGATTGGCAATTAGGGCGGACATTCTGCAAGCTGCTCATTTTAAAAAAAAATATATTTTGTTAAACGAGCGGCCCATTAATAGGCTCTGCTCGTTAATAGGCTTGACAAGCCTAAAATGAATCAAGCTCGAACATGAACACGAACTGAACTCTAACAGGGGATTTTTAAACAAGCTCGAACAAGCACCAAAGAAGCTCGAATCTTATCGAGCCAAGCTTAAACACAGTCTTGGCAAACGAGCATGAGCTCGAACATGCCAAAGCTCGGCACGGCTCGGTTCATTTGCAACCCTATTCCCAAGAGATAAAACAATTGGTTTTGGTGAGCCAAAGTTACCAGTCTTCCGGCAAGCTGTTCATGTGGAATGATGTGAGATTAAGTTTATCTTTGTAGATAATTGATGAAAGAAATGACACTGTTCGATTATTTGGATCCAAGTTTCAAAATTAAGGGTCTGTTTGGGGCAGTTACAACTTCTTATAAAGATGGTTATGATGGTGTCGTGGGAAAAGTAAAATTTTTAAAAGCTATTGTTGGTATTAGAAATATATTCTTTTTTGAAAAGTTTGACAACAATTTTCTTGTAGCTCCCACACATTAGTAGATTTGGTTGTAAAAAACAGCTTTGACTATAAAAATTTCTAAAAAGTAGTAAGAAAACAGTAGCCAAATGAAAGCAAAGCAATTAGAAAGTTATCCCAAATAGGCCCCAATGTCATTGAAGCATGGTATGGAAATGCGCATAGCTTTGAATGGATTGTCACCCATGATATCTTTTGAGGCCATTTTTGTCGGTTATTGAAGTTGGCTTAGGTTCAGCATGGAGTGAAGTTGGAGTTGGAGTTGTGGTTGGGATTTACCTCGAGGAGATCTAAATGGAACTTAGTATCTTAGAGCAAGATCCATTTCGAAATCCTCGAGATGTTTTGGTTGCTTGCGGTTCCAATTTGGATCCCACTCAAATAGGCTCGTTAAGTGGATCCTCATGGCTCAACTTCGTATCATAAGGTTTTTTCTCCATAAATATCAACATAAAATACTGTCTTAGGTGTTGAGTGGCTTGCAACTATATTTATGGCAGTATTTTATTTATGACTACAATGGTGCGATGAAGAAGCACCTCTTCATGTTTAATGTTATGATCAAAATTTAATCAATATAGGTTTATAACCGATGAATTCTTTGTGATGAGTACAATAAATGATTAATCCATCAATTTTCTTATGTACTTATTTCTAAGTAAATCCACGATTTTAAGATCTATACCTTGCCCAATCATTTCTTGCATATTGTTAGGCTCGTCATACATGTTGAAGCATCTTTGTGTTTATCTTTTACACTGCTTAAGATTTTGTTTGGGACGACTTTCTTATTGCTTCGTAAATCATTTCCTATTACAAAAATTAAAAATTTTATACCAGAAAGCTGCTTTAAGAAGCAGAAAGAAAGCCGTCCCAAACGAAGCCTAATAATCTTAGTGTAGTTGTGTGATTCAATTTTGCCTACTAGTGTTCCAATATTTCACTTTAACCATCACTTCTTATAACAAGATCATTATTTTGTTGAAAAAATTAAGAACAGATAAAGAATATTTATGCCCGCACATCAATAGTTTGTTTTAGCTCCAATTAGATTTTGAATTGCATCTGGGAGATTACTGTGTGTTCCTGTCTTTTGATTTGCAGGTTAGAGTCTCAGGTCATGGTGGGTGGTTCCTTTTAAGACTTTCACTTCATGACCCAGTTCTTCCACTCAACATTGAGGTACCAACTCTCCTTTGATTTCTTTTTGTCTCAAATTCGACCAAATTGGCTCCGCTCGAGATCATTTAGGGTTTCTTCGAGCCGATCTTGAGCCGGAACATGATTAGTTCGAGATAAAATCATTAGCAACCCTACCTGCAACTAATCTCCTCCTGCATGAATTTTTTGATTTCTTTATCAAACCCCTACAGGCACCAAGCCATGAGGATGCAGTGAAACTGGGACTATCTGTTCTTGCTGTTGTTAAGGAGTTTCCTGCTCTGGACATTGCAGCTCTAACTAAATTTGTGCAGATAGATTGAGCTCCTACACTACAAGAATGTTTTAAAGAAAACCTTCAGTTTACCTGCCTCCAGGTTTGTCTGCTTTATATAACTTCTACATTGCCTAAGCAAATAAAATTTCCAAGTTTTTATCATAAAATTTACATTTTTCATCCTTTGATGATTATTCCAAGCTATTCACAGTGCAGACTAAGACCTAATAAATCCCTAGTGTATCTATAATGTGTATTCATTGAATACCTTAGGCTTCGATGATTTTCTTACTGCTTCTAGTATAAAAATTAAAAATTTTGTACTAAGAAGTTGTTTTAAGAAGCAATAAAAAAAGCTGTCTCAAACAAAACCTTAGTCCCCTCTAATTGGTTTTTTACCTTTTAATTTTAGTCGGCGGTCTGGCCGACGACTATCGTGCTTAGTGAAAGATTTAGGCTTAGTTTTAGACGGCTTTTTTTCTACTTCTTAATGCTTTCTGGCATAAAAATTAAAAATTTTATACTAGAAAGCTGCTTTATGGAGCAGAAAAAAAAAAAAACCTTCTCAAACGAAGTCTTACTAGGTAACTATTATTAAGGGGAAAAAATTAGGCTAGAATATCATGATTAAGCGATAATTTTTTAGTTATTGAATTTGTTTTTAGATTAGTAAAATTTATGATTAATCAATAAATATTTATATTATATTTATGTAAAGATAAATCTATCAATTTTATGTTTCAATTGATCATATTTTCTCCACTATTAGGTCAAGCAAGGAGCTACCTTAGTATGAGTTTGAGTAGTGATTAATTTATAGTTAGGTCTAAATAATTATATATTTAATGTTTCTAATATAAATATGTGAACTTATTAGCGCATATATTTATGTTTATAGATTTTAGCTAAGATTTATATAATTCTTGGTTTGTTATTTTCAAATTTTTATAACAAATATTATGAAAAAGGTCCTTTGCTAATAATACAATGTATTTGCATAAATGATTAAACTTTAATCAACTAAAGACTAAGATCATGCAAGTCTCAATACTCCTTTTTATGTATATGTTTTGTTAATATTATATAAATAAATATTAAATTTTAAGAATTAGACATAATTAAATAAAATGTGTGGTAATTGTGTAATTCTTTCAAAACAATTGTAGTAATGGTTTTGAAATTTAAAAAAAAATTAGAGATATAGTGATTGATTTAGTGCTCGTTTGGTATAACTTACTGCTTTCTAAAGTAATTTTTAAGTTAAAAGTTTTTGGTACTAAAAAGCTGGTTTAAGTAGTAATAAAGTTATTCTAAACGAAGCCTTAATCTTAGCCTATTTTCTTCAATTCTTAGCATATAGAACTAAAACACATTGGATTTTACTATGCTTTATTGCCTAAATATTACTATGCTATATGAGGTTAGTCTTTATATTAATTTTCTTTATTTCAATTAAATTAGGTTAATGTTACTTTCATTCCCAAGACAAGTACCCATCTCTTATGGGGAATGATAATATTGGTACTCTTTGTAATTGCTTGTGTGCCTAACTCAATAGATTATTTGATCTCTTATCATTTCAAAAGACGTACAGTTTTTTTTTACTGTAACCACAAAATGTGTCCACATCTAAGTCTAAATGGCGCATTATATGTAGGCAACTTGAGTCGAGTTTCAGCCTAATTGAGCTAAGCTCCTTTAATTTAGAATGAGCTCGAGCTTGACTTAAGTTAAACTTGAGTGAAATTATGAAGCTCGAGCTCGATAAGAAAGTTTGAGATATGAGGTTGGTCAGGAGTTTTGGCTATGAATTAAGAGGTCCCAGGTTCGAAATTTGATTATGTGATGTGTGTTAGTTTGTCTTAATTGATCTAAATATAAAAATAATAATAATAATAATAAAAGTTCGAGAATAAGTTATTTTGGAGTTTGATTTTTTATTTTAAATATAAGCATAAAATAATTAACTAAGTTAATATAAAAATTGGTGTTAATTAATATTAATCAATCCTGCTTTATAAGATGGTAAAATTATTAGATGTGGATAATTAAAATGTGGATTATCAATAAAAATTTTGTAATATATATATATATATATATAAT